CAATCAAGTAAAATCATTAAAGGAAAATTCTGTTATTCGCATAATTTAAATAGAAATAGCTAGAATTTTCAGTAGAATAACAACGTTTATTTGATTTAATGAAAAAAGTGCTCATTGAACCACTATAAGTAAAGATTGTTTATTTGATATCTGTACGAAATTTGACATAGAGAATTGTCACAACAATTTTCACAAAATTCAGATTCAGATTGGACCGCCATAGTATGTAGTTGCCATACACACTAACCAATCAAAATCAAGTTCTTGTATGGAAAGCTTTTTTATTTGATTAGTGACCTATGTAGGCACGGCTACATTCTCCGAACAAATCGTTCAGATCGAACCCCTATAGCATATAGCTGCCATACAAATTGTTGGGTATAAGATATAGGATATCGAGATATCTTTACGAAATTTGGCTTGGATTATTTTCGAAAGCAGCACTACAATCTGCGTAGAAATGGTTCAGATCGGGCCACTATATAGCTGCCATACAAATTGAATCCAAATCAAGTTCTTATATTGAGAACTTTTCTACTGGACAAGAGTTCCTCAAGAAATTTGATAAAGATTATTTTCCAATACAATAAAAATTATTACTATTTATACCATTTTTGAGAAAAGATTGAATTGATATAAATTTAAAAACAATTTCTAAAAATTAGTCGAATCATCTGAAAGTTAAACGRAATGTCCGGTTTGTATGAATAATATTAGATTAATACTATTCGAATAGATGAYAAAGAATGGTTATTCGAAATCACTATCTGATTAGTGYAAACCGAATATTATTATTCAAATAATGCGTTATACGTTTAACCGAAATTCCAAGAACTCTAATAGAAACGCTGAATACTTTCAAGCAATCATTCATTTAAGCAATTATTCATATAAGCTTTAGTTACAGCAATGCATTTCTTCATTTTTCTGCAAAACTTTCAGCCATCAATGTTGTTGAATTAACCTATAATCATACTTAAAACCCACACAAACAACTATTACTGTTACCCGTCTTCCCTTAGCACGCTTTCGTGCTTTTTCCTTACCGCTCCATCACATCTTTCTATCAGTTGTTACAGCTCTGTATGTATGTGTGTGTATCATATGTGTCTGTTAAATACCACAAAAAAATTTTGCACTCCGTTCTTTGCCCGAATTCACAAACCAACTATCCATCATCCATCAATCCCATCTATGCATTCGCATTCTCCTTCGCTTCGAATCACTTTTCTGCCGCTTGTTTGTCTCGCTATTCGCGCTGCTTTCACTACTACCCCCCGCCAAAACCTGCTCTTGCGACGCAGCGCTTTTCCAAATTACACCCACTTTTGCTTGCTTTAAATGGAAAAGCTGCTTGCGCTCACCTCAGCTACCCGTTAAAGGTGCTTGTTTTCGCTCTCCCCTTTTTTCATTTTTGCGTTATTTGCTTTGTAGCATTTCCCTCATTTTCCGCCTATCTGAAGTTATTACTTTTTACTAGTTTATTTCAGTGCGTTTGGTATCCCCACCCCCCTTTTATGCTSTAAGCTCCACGCCTTGTGTACCTTCCGGCCATCGTTGAAGGGTGGTTTCTGCGTCTGCTTCGGTTTGTTGTTTGCACCACCCGCCCTCCGTTGGTTAGTTGGTTACCTCTTGTGCATTTTCATCGCGCTTTTCGCTTTTGCTTTGTCGTCTAGGCAATGTTTTGCTTTCATTTATTTTGTAAGTATCGTCTGCTATGCTGTGTGCGGCCACTTGAATGTTGCCTGACTGCTTCAAAGCGCATTTCATTTTGCTGTGTAGCGCTTTTCCTTTGGCCGTTTTCCGTTGACGTCGAAGGTGTGTGTGGAAAATGCATAGTTTTTCGTTAGAAAATTAAAGTGGTTCCCTCAATGATGTTTTACCTTGAGTTGTGCCGGTGAAGTGCTTGACCTGGCTGTATTTAATTCGAAATACAAGTGTTTCAGGGATGTTCGAAAGCTGAAACAAGGCATTTTTATTTAGGATTTGAAAGACCAAAAGTTTTAAATTAATAAAAATTATTAGAAATTATAATCCTTTCGTTTTCATTCTTTCTTCTGGCGTGTGTTTCAACATGACATAGTGTTCTTTGTGACCCCCAAAACTCAAGACTGCATGTTGTGTGAGAAAGTGGTCAGAGATCTATAATGCTATGCTGGTTGCTTGATTTATCATGGCTCACATAGCGTCATCTCTGTAGTTACTTGCCTCGATAGGAATATTTAGACAACCTCCGAGGTTGTTTCTTGGTGTAATTGTAACTGTTTCTTCCGCTTTATTGGCGTAKACGTGTTTATAGCCAAAGAGGATACAACAGCATATGGCTCAAGCAGCGCACGACTTCCGGTCTTAAACCAAGTAGGCAAGATCTTCTGGACCGTACTCCGAACATAGCGTTTGGTTCACAAGGAACCTAATAATAGCCTAAGTACGTTCAGACACTTTTTTGATCTTATTTTTGAACCAAACTCGGACATTTCAGTTCGAAATACATTTACGTTGTTGGTTGGATTACAGTTCCCGAGTCGTCTGTGATCTTAGAGTAAAGCAGCACTCATATTTAAAATGTCCATTGTTGCGACTGAGTATAAAATTCTTGAAACGCCTGTGATCTAATCTATTTTCTGAKATCATTTTGTTATGTAGTCTGACTCATTTCTGGAACTTTTTTCGATCCAATATCACAATGCAATCCATTTTCTTAGATCTCTGAGATCTCATCCTCAAATTCAACTAGTATTTTTGAGCTTGTTATGTGATGTAGACTACAGGTTGGGAGAAGTCTGTGATCTCGAGAATTAAGCATAACTCATGTTTAAAGATATTATTGATTCTGATATCTGTAGACTCGATCCATACGATATTGCAACGCTGTTATTGAGACGACTGTTATCTCAGCAATGGTATCCATTTTCGGCGTTTGTTGTGATCTGACTCATTTCTAGAACTGTTTTCGATTCGTTATCTTAACGGAGCCCATTTACTGTGACCTCTGCTTTCTCATCTTCAAACCCAACTATTTTTTTTCTACAAAATTTTAATTTTGAAAAACTATAATCGAAATTCACTTTCGTACAAAACTATTAAGGTTTCAAATCCGCAGTAATCCACAACTAAAACGTAAGTGAGTATGACTATTTTGAAATATTGAAGAAATTTCTTTTTCCTTTAAAATTCTTTTCGAATACAAAATTTTTGTGTTGAAAAAATTTTAAAATATTTAGTACAAATTACAAAATTTATTAAAGAAATTTCAAACAAATAAGTTGTGCGCTTAAAAGTGAGTAGAATAATTGAAATTTTATCGGTGCTTTACAATTTCGCTGATTTTTCGTTTGAAAAATCTTCGCAAAGCATTATCATTGTTTATCCATGGAGTTCTTGGGTGTTTCTAATGCATAAAATCGAAGTGCTCACTCAAAAATCAAGTTTCCACATTTAGATGTGGGTTAATCACAACAGAGAATCACTGTGGCAAAGCAGAATCGGTTTCATAGTCAACTCATTRGACTAGTGTGTGGATCCTTCATTTTATTAACTCTAGCAGCTAGTTAATAACTTTGAGAAGGACCGCTGGACTCCGCTTTCTCGTTGTTTTCTGTACTCCATGGTTCGCTGAAGCCGCCAACTGTTTTATATGTATATGTTGTTATGTTTGTTAAAGTTGCTGTCTAGCCTTCTAAATGTGGGTTTCTTTTGCTCTTATATGCTGCTAATGCATCTTTAATAGAGATCATTATTTAGTAGTGCAAAACTGGGATTTGAGGGGTTTCTGTAGTCTTTAGAAGGAAAATTCGTAAATGCTTTTGTAGCTTAATATATTTTCAATACTATTTAGCGAGTTTTATTCATCTATCGGGTTGGTAGGTGACCAGGATAATCATCGGTTTTAGTGATTGGTTGGAGTCTCGACTTTTTTTAAATTTATGTAAATTGTATCAAGTTTTCTGTGAAAAACTTYTATTTGACAGCATTTTTTCACGAAATTTGACATATATCAATTGCCTGACCGCTWTAGTCTATAGCTGCAATGCAAACTGGCCGATCAGGAGCAAGTTCATGTAGGGAAAACTTTTTTATTTGACAATATATTTTCATGAAATGTGGCATAGCTTATTATGTAGGGAAACGCTACAATCTTACAAAAAAAAAATTCTAGATCGGACCACTATAGCATATAGCTGCCATACAAACTGACCGAACCAAATCAAGTTCTTGTATGGCARGCTTCTTTATTTGACAAGATATCTTTACAAAATTTGGCATGGGTTGTTATCTAAGACAATAGTGAAACCTCTGAAGAAATTKTTCAGATCGGAYCACTATAGCATATAGCTGCCATACAAATTGACCCCTTAAAATGAAGTTCTGGTATGGAAAACTTTTTTATTTGACAAGATATCTGAACGAAATTTTGCGTATTAAATTGAATATGACAACACYACAATCTCCGAACATATGGTGCTGWTCGGACSACTATAGCATATAGCTGCCATACAAATTGAATGAACAAAATCAAGTTACAGCTCTTTTTATTCCCTTTATGCAATAAARAAGCGACTGTGTAGGGTATATAGTGTCGTTGTAATCGATGTTTACGTTTTTTTTTATTTATTTTTTATTAATATCGGTTTCTTGATCTGAGAATTTATATAAACCTACCATGTAAACTTTTAGTCACTTCACAGTCTTTATATTTATTTTTGAAATAACCAAAATAATATGGTAACAGCAAGACAAAATGAAATCTAATAAACATATTTTTCGTTTTTTCTCTCTTTTTCGCTCGCTCTCTCTCTTCTGCCTGGCATCGCCGTACTTGCGCAAAACAGCTGATTCGTATAAGCAAACAAGCAAGCAGACAAAGGTGGCACTAGCAATAGCAACACCAACAGCAAACCAATACCAGATACCAACCGACCTGTTATACCAACGACAAAAGAGTTGGCCACAAGCAAGTAGAACCAAGTGCTGAAATTGCATGTAAAAACGCAGACAACGAAGAAAACGCACCAAAACGTAGTTGAAAATAACGTGTAATAAAGGAAAAGTGGAAAATTCTTAAGTGCGGAATATTTATTGAAATTATCGAAAAGCAAGCGCTGCCAAAATAAGTGCACACGCTACGCAAGAAAACCAAACGAAAAAACGCGATAAAGAAGTCGCGTCTTAAGCCAACAAAAAGCGGAAGCAAAGCGCTAAARCTCGACAGCCAAGCATTTAGGCCGTCAGCCAGAGCTAAAGCTAAAGCCAATTAATCCCATTGCTAAGCGCCGCACCGCGCAGCGTCTACGCCAACTAAACTCCAACTTTTGTTCGGTCGCGTTGTACCGCGTTCAGCAGTAGCGCTGGAATACTTTATTTCACCCCCCGGTCCAATAAACGTCGCCAAAATAATTCACCAACAAACAATCACCGACATCAACTTCGCAACGGCGACCACAATGCCATATAACGGCGCCAGCAATGGCAGCGGTGGTGGCGGCGGCGGAGGTGGTGGCGGTATAAGTGATGGACCGCAAAACAAGAAGATACGTACGGGCGTACAACAGCCGGGCGAAGCGGATGCACATCTGCATGCAAGGGTAAGTTTCGACAAAATTTCTTTTCTATACATACTTACATACATATGATAAAAGTGTGGCAAGCAAAGCGAAAGAAAAAAATAACGGTACAATAAGTTTCGTTGGAGTGTGAAAAGTTTCGCAGAAATGATTTTTGTATTTATTTTTATTTTTTTATTTTATTTTTTTTTATTTTTTTTAATTTTTTTAATAATTGCTGGCGTATGATTTTGCATTTTTCGTAATTTCTTTGCGCATTTACGCTGCTGTTGTGTTTTTTGTTATTGTTGTCAACAAATAGTTGCGAGTTTTCGCTTTATTGCTACTCCAAATAGTGACAATTTTCGGCAAATGGCGTTTGTCAACGCGCAACGCCAACAAAAACAACAAACAAACACCAAGAAGAAATAAGAAATTATCAACAACAACAACAAATAAACACCAACACCACCAACAACAACAACAACCATAGCAAACATTTACCGTTCGCTATTTTCGACATGCGAACGCCGGCGTTTTCGCCGTAGTGAAGTTGTTTTTCCTGTGCCACAACTGATAATGTCATGCATTGCCTGCTTTTAGGGGTTGTTAAAAATCGATTTTCAGCTGTTCGACAATTTCATACATGCAGCGCGCACACTAAACGCTGACAGCGTTGGCGTTATGAAAAATAGTGTTTAGATAATATTTTATTTGCGCCTAATAATCGTATTTTGTGATAAGCAAATGCTCCTAAATGTAGGCTAGTTGTTGATAACAAATGTTTTTAA